GAATGGTTGTGGAGTGTTATAGGCAGTGGGTTTTTCTTTTTCTTTTTAATATAATCAGAAAAAAAAATTATAAATAAATAAAAAATAAATTAATAAGGGTAAAATAATCATTTTGTATCAGTGAGGGATGATCCAAGTAAAATTTTAATTGTACACCAACGGTCTGAATTAATTTTTGAAAATAAGGACTGAACGTACATTTTTGCATTTGGATAATGGACGATTCATGTAATTTTCTCAATTTTTTTGTTTATATTTGGATAATCATGTTTTTCACACGTTTCACCTAGTAAATCTATTAGACATACTCAAAATAATGTATTACATGTTATATAATATGAAACAAAAAAACATGAGTACCAAAATATATAAAAAAATCAAACTTCACTATCCATTTTGGTAATATTGGTTCTTTATGCTAAGTACAAATAGTCATAACATTCTTTTATGGAGGTTTGCAAGGCTCATTGATATGATATTGATTTGGGTGTCATTAGGGAATTTTATTCCTAGTTGCCATCAGAGAATGTGTCCTAGGTATTCTCATACATAGAAAGAATTATCATGATGAGAAGAGTGTATACATACAGTGGAGACTCATGTTTGTGAATGAGAGATCCTTCGTATAGAGGAGAATATATTTTATTTATTTAACTAGATCAAGAGACAATTAGGTTAAGCCTTAGGCCTGACCAGTTCAACCCCAATTAGTTATCGGCTAGGTTGTTCTCCCAGATATTTCATGTAGTGTTGTCGTATTGTACTTCAGATCAACGATCCAGACCTCACACCAAGACTGGAAGCCAGATTTCATGTCACATCAGCAAGTGAGTCTTACTACTACTTGCACTTGGCATGAATAAACTCATATTACCAAAATGGATAACAAACTTTAGTTTTTATCAATATTTACAAAATCATGTTTTTTTATACACGTTTGACCGGTAAACGTGTTTGATATGTTCATAATAAGGTTATATTATTAGTAATTACTGATGATATTACATTCTTATGAACATTTCAAATAAGTTTGATGATCAAACATCTATGAAAAAATATTATTATATAAATATGGACAAAAACTAGTATTCATTAAATTAAACTCATATTTAACCCGTAATTTAGTTACATATAATGATGATTTGACATTTTTCGTTTTTTCTTTTAAATAATTTCTTAACAACATATTATAGTTTTCCAATTATTAAATGCATGTCGTGTTTCGGTAATTATATAAATTAACAAACTAAATTAAATTTGTTAATGTAGATTAAAGAATTAGTACATGGAAAAGAATCATTTTATAAGATTATGATTTATCACTTTTACAAATGCGAGATTTCTTATGATATTTTATTGTACAAAATATTTGGTACTAGAGTTTTATAGAATACTATATAGTGACCACTCTATAGTAACCTTTATTAAGAATTCCTAGTTGGATATTGTTAAAAAATGCATTTGATTTTGACGTGACATCCTTTAGAAAGGTGGGGAAAGATTATGATAAATTAACACTTGAATATTTGAATGAGTCATAAGTCAAGGATAATACGATTTGCGGACTTTGAAATCATGGTAAACATTTATTTACCAAATTCAAGTCATTCCTCATCATTATGTGGAATTGGTCATCCATCGCACACTCAAAAAATCAATTCCAAACATTTATACTATTATGTTTTTTTCTTTATAAAATATTTTTCAATATTTATTTTGTGATATGTAATATACGTGCCATACTAGGATTTATAATATTGGTACAAGATTTCTCTATTAAGATGTCAAATAATATTAATTGCGTCAAATCAATTCCAAACATTTATATGATTATGTTTTTATCTTTATAGAATAGTTATAAAAAATATAATAATAAAATACAAAAAATTTGATGAAAAGTAAAAATATAATTTATTTCAATTCACTTATCATGATTTGTGTGTCTTTTTCTTTAATGAAAATTTTTAATCCTAAAAATTTAATTTAAATTTAATTTCTAACAAATTTAAATTGATTACAAATCCTTAAATTTTAGTTTACTTATTTAATGGTGTTAAACACAACGAACGTGTATATTATGAAATCTCAAATTACTTATATTAAATTTCAAATTCCAAATTTAATACATATTTTAATTTATTTGAATTTCAAAAACTAAATTAATAGAAAAAAATTAGTGAGATTGCCACACATCAACCTCAAATGAAAGATAAAATTTTAAACTAGTAGTGTAAAAAATAATTAATGTGTCACATGTTATTTTTATTTACTAGGCAATGTAAAGTTTTCAATATTTATATATGATCTATAATATTATGCCATACTTAGGATTTATAATGTTGGTACAAGATTTCATCTCAACTAATAAGAAAAATCCAGGCTAAAATGACTTTTCATTTATTTTACATTTTTAGTTAAAAAATTTCAAAAAATTTAATTTATTTTACATTTTAAAAATATTTTTTTTTGATCTCTAAAATGAAAGGTTAGGATTACGTTCTACATAGGTTCATTTAAGACCAATAAATTAAGCAAACTTCTGAACAAAAGATTTTTCAGACCAAACTTCTCACCCTGCACAGCTCCGATCTTGTTTGTCAAGAAGAATGACAGATCCTTCAGAATTTGCATTGACTATCGGAAGTTGAACAAACTCACCATCAAAAATCGATATCCACTCCCACGAATCGATGATCTATTCGACCAGCTTCAAGAAGCTAGTTATTTCTCCAAAATAGATCTAAGATCCGGTTATCATCAACTCCGAGTCCGGGAAGATGATATTCGAAAAACATCTTTCCAAACTCAATACAACCATTTCGAATTCATGGTTATGCCCTTCGGTTTAACAAATGTCGCCACAACGTTTATGGACCTCATGAATCGAGTCTGCCGACAATTCTTGGGTCTTGCAGGCTACTATCGAAGGTTTATTCAGAACTTTTCCAAGATAGGCAAGCCCCTCACCACTCTAACACAAAAGGCGTACCCTTTAACTGGACATAAAAACAAGAAGCTGCTTTCCAAACCTTGAGGCGAGCCATATGTAGTGCTTCAGTGATATCCTTACCAGAGGGAATGGAAGACTTCGTAGTATATTGCGATGCTTCAAATCAAGTGTTAGGTTGTGTTCTTATGCAGGGTGGAAAAGTGATAGCTTACGTGTGACAACCCGATATTTCAACTCTTTGTAATGACCTAAAACGTCAAGTATTGTAGCTACTTTTGAAATAAATGAAATTAACTTCAAAAATGAAATGTGTAAAAGTCTCTATAAGTATGTCTATTATGCTAGATAATGTGTCAAGGTTTATAGAAATACTAAGAACACGAAAAATCGAGTTATAACGAAGAAGTTATGACCATTCTAAGATTTCCGAAAAAACCGGCAACACCGATCAAACGAAAAACACGAAGTTTCAATACAATAGTTTTTAGCCTTAAGTATCTACATGAAAGTTATAGATAACCTCAAACCGTGAGCGTACATAAAAAGAACGTCCAAATCTGACTTCGTATGAGGAAGTTATGATTTTTCCAAGATTCGGGTATAGTAGTAGACAGCTAAAAACTCGAAATAGAGCTCGAGATCCTTTTGACCAAAACAACCTAAATGAGAATCTAAGGTCTCAACATTTGTAGCGCAACGGCGAAAAGTCTGATGAAAACAGACACCAGATGAAGAAGTTATGGATTTTTAACGAACTTTTCGTGTCCCGGCCCGTTAAAAATAAATAATTAAAAATAAAGTCAAAATTTGCCGATGAAGTCTAAATGAGAGTTGTAGATAACATTTTCAGCTACGCGTGCATATAATGAACGTCGAAAACGGAGCTCGTATGCGAAAGTTACGGATTTTACAAGTTCGGGGTCCAAAATCCGAGGCTGTTAGGCCCCCACGATGTGGCACAGCTTGGCCGCGACCCGGCAAGTGACTGAGAGCGTCCAATCAACGGAAGAGGATAAGGCTTGCTCCCCACGACGTGGCCAACCTTAGCCACGACGTGGAACACCAGAAATAGCCCAATAAATAGAACTCTTGGGGTGCCGGGTTTAGGTGCTCCGTTCTTCCATCTCTCGTGCTGAAACTCTGCGGTTAAGCTCCCGAAGCCCCGGTTTTCACCTTCAAGTCCCGAAGTAAGGTTTTGTGTTCCCGAGATTCCCGAGATTTCTGAGATTCCCGAGATTTTTCCCCGTTTTCAACTCTTCCTGTCGAAGTTCTGCTCATTTCTTCTCTCGACTACTTCAAATCAACCACTTCAATCAAGTGAGTTCATACCCCTTAATTAACCCTTTTAAATATTCTAAACGCTTTCATATGCTTTCTAAGGGGGGGGGGGGGGGGGGCTACAAGTAAAACACACGACTACTATCGGGTGTTATATATATAAAGATTATTATACACTTTTATTAAGTGGAATAATGTTTGATTTACGAACTTTATAGGGAACTCCCGTATACAAAACTATATTACAATAGCATTCTATCTTTAAAAACTATAAATGGTTGTAATGCATGTATAAACTAAACAACGAACATTCACTACAACAAAATGAAGCTAATGCAACCCCACTAAAAGGTTGCATTAGGCCTTGTAAAAGTTGCATAATACCTAAAGCAACCTTTTACCAAAGGTTGCATTAGGTAAAGTTGCATTAGATCTAAAGCAACTTTTTTCTTCGAAAATGCAACCTTTTTTGAGATAGTTGCAAATCTTTTTTAAATGCAACTTTTTTTATTGCAACGTGTGTTATGCAAAAGCAACCTTTTTAATACTCATATGTAACTTTTTTACACTTGGATGCAACTTTTTTTAACTATTGTAGTTACGAAAATGCAACTTTTTTATAATCAAATGCAACCTTAATTATGTTTTCTAGTAAAGAATTGCAACCTTTCTATATGGCATATGCAACCTTTGTTATGTCTTTAAATGAAAAAAATGCAACCTTGTTTATAGTCAAATGCAACTTTGTTTTTGTGAGTTTTCTAATTTCAATGCAATATTTTTTTTCCTAATCATATAGATGCCACATATGTTTACTACATTGTTACAAATATAAATTACTACTAAAATTTCACCTTAAAAATAATAACATAAATATATTATATAATTTTATGGTCTCCTTTGACATATCTAAATTCAAAATAATAACCATAAATCAAAGTCAACACAAAGTTGTCAACTATAATCACAAAAAAATAATTAAAAACATTCTAGATGTGTCTTAAACATAGACGATAAATCATATTAGCAACTATCGGCCTTCTCGAGGTTGTTGTTCCGCTAACTTTCGCATCATGGCTTCAAGGTTTTCTTGCTGTTTTTTAATATCTATTTGCATAGCTTTTAATTCGGCCTGCTTTTTTTCATGGTCCTCTTGAATCTCTTTCCGCATTTCAATCAACTCATTTCTTTCAACTTCATTTGCTTTGAATGATTCCATAAGTCCCGTCGGAATCATGTATGATGCATCACCACCACCCACTTTTTTTATCAATCTATTAGTAACGCCTCTACCATAAAGTCGACGGTATCCATCATTCTCTTTTTTCATCACAATCATATAAGGATCTATGGCATCACTTTCATCTTCTAGATGTTCATACTTCTTCATTTGTTCCTACAAGATTATTAAAAATGAATATGATAATTTTACTAAAGCATCTACCATTAAAAAGTTGTTAATATTGTAAAAAAAATTGCATTTAAATGCAGAAAAGAACAACTTTTTTATTGTTTAAATGACAACTATTTGATGTCCAAAAATCTGCTATCAAAAGACTGTTTTTATGTAAAAAAAACTGCATTTTAACATCTAAAAAAACTGCATCTTAAAACATTTTTTTTTCGTGTAAAAGACAGCTATTTGATGTCCAAAAATCTGCTATCAAAATAGTGCTTTTATGTAAAAAAAAAACTGCATTTTAGCATCTAAAAAAATTGCATTTTAACATCTAAAAAACTGCATTGAAAACAATTTTTTTTATTTTGTAAAAGACAAGTATTTGATGTCCAAAAATCTGCTATCAAAATACTGTTTTTATGTGTAAACAAAAAACTGCATTTTAACATCTAAAAAAACCGCATTTCAACATATAGAAAATTATATTTTAACATATAAAAAATTGCAATTTAATGTCTAAAAACTGCAATTTAACGTCTAAAAAGATAGTTTACTATTAAAAGGGAAAATTATTGTAAAATTGAAATATAAACTTACAATTTTATTTGCCGTGTCATCATATGTATCGACATATACATGCCCATCTGTCCTTTTACGTGTACGTTCAAACATTTGACTTAGAGTTGGGAATTCCTTGTTTGGATCTTCATTTTTCTATACACATGATAACATAAATATCAACAAGAAAGTATCAAAATGTGGGAAAATATAAACACAAATCACAAGCAAAAAGAAGACATTAATTACCATTTCGTCACGAATTCTAGCAAAACTTTTTGGACCAGCCGTGTGCATATTTTTTAGAGACTTGCGTATTTCTTTTGCCCGCGAACAACGTTTCTACACACACATTAATATATAAAACTCCATTGACCAAATACACCTAAAGACAAATCAAATATTAACAAACACTGGTAATAAAGAAAATGTTTTTGAAATTACCGCCACATCTTTTTTATTCCATAACACTAATAGTTTTGAGAACTCTTCTTGAGGAATGCATTCAGGTCGATTCTTCCATCTTGTTTTATTGTCCTTAAATTGATAGAAGTGTTTTTTCTTGAACCTACATTTGTATACCTTATACAAATTTCCAATTGTCCTAAGAACCCAAGTTTTAGCATCATCGGGCACATCATATTTTCCCTTAAAAAAATTAGTAATTAGTAAAAAGGAAGGAAAATAAAAAAGGATAGAAGAATAAAGCTACCTAAAAACTTACCAATACATACTCCCATATCTTATCTTTATGTGGAACTTTGTGCCATGAAGTACATGTCAATGGTGCATAACTATGGGTACGAGCTATTGTACCCAAAAACCGAGAGAATTTTCCTACTACATCCTTCCCCTCTATTATCGGTCCAACGGGTTGTCCATATTCATTACATATAATAACCTCACGTTGATTAACATTTCGTGTGTGAACGGAATGTAACATTGTTGGTCCTCTTTTCTTGGGTGTAGAAATTACTACATTCCAACATAGAATTATATATATATATATATATATATATATATATATATATATATATATATATATATAAACCAAAAGCATGATCAAGTAGTGAAGTTGAACCTGTTTCCTTTTCTAATTGGGGTTCTTCTAATTGTTCTTCAAAAAGTACATCATCCTCATTTCCCAAATCGTCATCGCTATCATCAACTTCAATCTCATTTTCAATATTTGCATAGTTCAAATGGTCCATGTCTTCATGGTCATCATTTTGATCAACATCATCTTCTAATTAAGGAGTAAATATAACAGCAATAATAAATAGCAATTACAAAAAAATATAACAAAAAATGAAATATTCATTAAACTAAACGAAAGTACCTTCACATTGCGCAAGACGTCCTTCATTAACATTATCTTTCAAACCAAATTGCTCCATATCAGCTGCAATAACATCAAAAATCGTAGAAACGTAAATTAATATAACATGTAGTTTTATGAGGTGACTTTGTTATTTCTCATTAATTAAATAAACATTTAGATTGACAAGATACTACCTTGAGATATCTCATCATCCTCATCCTCATCAACAAGAGCCAATTGTCTCGTTGCTCCACTTATGATACAATTATGCTTTTCCGCATTTTGTTTGAATACCTCTCTTTCCCTTTGCGGTCCTTTATTCCTCAAGATTAAGTCACCCATACTAGTCTTTGATCTAGATTGTTTTTCTTTAGTTGCATTCGAAACCAATGGATACTTATTCGAGACATTTGGAGCAATCACCCGACGTTGCCTTGTTAAATTAGCAAGTCTATTCATGGACATTGGTGCAATATATTGTGGACGATGTTGCTGTAACAAATTTACTTTTCATTATTAAATATCAACATCAAAATAAAACAATTACAGATTTGCTAATATGATTACCTTTTTGGATACTTGAACACTTCTAGCAACTTCGTGGTAATCTCCATCAATATCATCACCCAAATCAGGAATATAGTCTGAATCTCTAGCACCGATATACGTTGGTTTCACTTGTTTTTTCTTTGGTTTTTGACTTTCTACCAAACTTGTCAAAGAATTTGCAATGCTTTTAACTCCCAAATCTTTTAGTCTTGCTTGGTTTTCTTTTATCCTCAAAAGTCTATTCTTCTCATAATCATTCATTTCTTTTTGTGCACTTTGATCTTGCTTGTTTTGTTTTCCCATTATCGGCCTGCTCAAAAGTGACATTATCAATTTAAGTTCAAAATACATAATAATAGCATTGTAGTATCACTTACATGTAATTTTTTTCCTACAATCATAAAATTAAATAAAAAAAGAAACAAGAAGCTGACAAATAAGGCACAATGCAACTCCAGTACTTACGATTAAACTGAATCGAAAGGAACCTGCAAAACAACCACACATGCACCTCTAATTTAAAATCTAAAAAAAGGTAAAAATAAAAGACATGAAAATTATTCCACAAAGATAAACATCACATTATAAAATAAAATCTATCAAATGTAGAAAAAAAAACTTTGTTTTTCAGTTACCTTCAAACCTAAACTTTCACAAAGTAGTGACTTATTATCACTTGCTTATTATTCAATGCATAAAATGACATGAAATAATTTAGGTAAACACAAAAAGTTTAAAGAATTAAACTATCTTATTACAAAAATGTAAAAGAAAAGTAAATATTAATATTATTGTCAGTATCTCAATGAGCCTCGTCTTCTTCTGCTTCCATCCAATCCCATAATGTATCGTCATAATCAGAATCGCCTCCACTGTCACTATTAGCTTCATCAGCCCCATCTAAATTTGTATTTGCATCAACTACAAGAGGAGGCATATCATGTCTTGACAATTGAATCTCATGTTCACCAACTTGTGCAAAAGAATTTAACCCATCCTCATTAGGCTCGGACCAATACGAGTCACCAATAGTTTCACTGCTTTCATCTTTGAGGTCATAGATATCTCTAGGAACCCTATTGAGAACATAATGCAAAAAGTCTTCTATAGGGTCTGCTACGTAGAACACCTGGTTTACTTGGGAAGGCATGACAAAAGGATCGTCTGAAGAGCAAAACTTATTAAAATTAACACATGTTAATCCATAATCATCTTTCTCTACTTGGTACCACTCACAACGAAACAAAACAACTTTGAACTGCGACCAATAGTCGAGTTCAAGTATATCCAAAATTCTACCATAGTAGTCAACATTCCCCATAGCTGGATTTTTGTCTCTAGAACTTGCAAAGCTAGGAGTTATAGCCGTAATAGAAACACCACTATTTTGAGTCTGGCATTTAGCATCTCGTGATTTGGTATGAAACCTATATCCATTGACATAATACCCGTGATATCTCTTTGAAGTAGGACTAGGACCCTTAGCAAGCCAAAAAATATGATCTGGAACATTATTACTTTTAACTTTCTCCTTTAACCAGTTGGCGAATTCATTACTATGGTTTTGGGCGCGTGCCCATCGACTTTTCTGTGGTTGGGTGTCAATATAAACTTTATGCTCACTGCATCATCACGTAGAAAAAAGAAAATTAAATGTGAATTAAGTTTTATCATACATTTAATTTGAAGAAATGAGATGCTATAAATTGATTACTTACTTGATATATTCATCAACTTGTGCACAATCAGAATTGAATAAGGCATAACGATGTGCTTGTTCCCTTAAAATAAGATCTAAAGTTATAAGCTTCCCTTTTCTTCGCTTTTTACCTCCAATAGGATGACCCTTATTGACAAATATTGGTCCACCAGACTCATGTTCTTCATCCATATCATCGACATCTTTTGAACCCCTATTAAGTCTTGTTTTTACTCCATCATGCATATAGCGTGAGCAAAAAGTCAAACATTCTTCAATCAAATATCCTTCTGCTATGGATCCCTCTGGACGACTCTTATTTCGCACATATGACTTCAACTTACATAGGTATCTTTCCATAAAATACATCCATCTATATTGAACAGGTCCTCCAAGTCTAACTTCGTTTACTAAGTGGATAGGTAAGTGCACCATTATGTCAAAAAACGTTGGCACAAATATTTTCTCAAATTCACACAATATTTGAGTTATTTCTAATTGTAATCTGTCAAGTTCCTCGGGCCTAATTACCTTGCTACACAAACTACGAAAAAACCACCCAACCTAATCAATGGGATTGCAACATGCTTTGGTAATGATTTTCTCACTGCAACTTGAAGCAAGTAATGCAAAAAGATATGAGCATCATGACTCTTGTAACCCGAAAATTTCTTTTCTGAAGAATTAACACATCGGGCAATATTAGATGCACATCCATAAGGCAACTTTGCTTCCTTCAAAACACGACAAAAAATTGCTTTCTCCTTTGATGACATTGAAAAACATGCGTTGTGGAATATAACATTCTCACCATCTTCAGAAAGTTCTGGTTGAAGTCGTTCTTTAATGCCTAACTCCAAAAGGTCAAATCGAGCTTTTACATGATCCTTTGACTTTCCACTAATATCCAACACTGTCCCTACCACATTATCAGTTAGATTTTTTTCGATATGCATTGGGTCAAGATTATGTCGGCATTCAATAAATTTCCAATAGGGCAATTCAAAAAATATTGACCTCTTTTTCCATGGGCAATTACTATCATTTTTTTTCTTTTGTGTCTTCCCAAATATATTTTGAAAGCTAGACAACTCTCTCAAAGCTGCATCTCCTGATAGGGGTTTTGGATAAGGTCTTTTTTCAGTTTTACCATTGAAAGCACTTTTATTACGTCGCCATGGATGTAGAGCATCTAGAAACCTGCGATGATCCATATAGCATGTCTTCTTACTATGCTTCAGTTGGAGTGAACTGGTTTCATGATTACAACATGGACATGCGAATTTTCCTTTAGTTTTCCACCCTGACAACATGGAATAAGCTGGAAAATCACTAATTGTCCATGTTAAGGTTGCATACATTCTAAAGGTTTCATCTTTATATTTATCATATGTCTCTAACCCATCAACCCATAATTCTTTCAGCTCCTCAATTAAAGGTTGCAAATAAACATCAATGTTATTACCTGGTGAGTCAGGTCCAGGAATTAACAAAGACAACATAAAGTATTCGGGTTTCAGTGACATCCATGGAGGTAAATTATAGTTAACTAATACCACAGGCCAAGTGCTATGAGCAATGCTCATTGTTCGAAATGGATTAAATCCATCACTTGATAACCCTAACCTTACATTTCTAGTTTCTTTTGCAAATTGAGGATACAAAGAATCAAATTTCTTCCAGCTTTCCCCATCAGCAGGATGTCGTAAGTTTCCATCATTAGGACGTCCTTTGTCATGCCACGTCATATATTTAGCTGTTTCAGAGCACATGAAAAGTCTTTGGAGCCTTGGTTTTAAAGGAAAATGCCACACAACCTTAGCAGGAATATTTGAAGATTTTTTGAAATGCTCATTGACATGCTTGCTCGCTTGTTTCTCATCCATTTGTTTCCACTTAGAGGTATGACAGACGTGGCAGGTATCGTCTTCTTCATGATCCTTCCAGTATAGCATGCAATCATTCGGACATGCAGGAATCTTTTTGTAATCAAGCCCCAAATCCTTCATGATATTTTTAGCTTGTGTAAAACTAGCAGGAAGTTTTGCCTCAGGAATCACCTCTTGAAAAAGTTGTAATAGATCATTAAATGCTACATTACTTAGCCCATGAAGCGTCTTGTAGAGAAAAAGTCGGATGATGAAAGATAGCTTTGTGAAATTTTTACAACCTGGGAACAACTCTTGCTTTCCTTCTTCCACCAATTTATAGAACATTTTGGCCTCTTCATTTAAGCCTTCTTGAACCATACTTATTTCTTCTGCCACATCTCTAAACCTATCATGCAATAATTCATCAAAATTGTCATGCATACCAGCTCCATCATCGTCTATGGCGATATTAGACATAGATTGTGAGGATTTTTCTCCATGAAAAACCCATACATAGTAGTTTTCTACAAACCCATACCCTTTTAAATGGTCAAATACTTTATCCCTTCGATACCAATAGCGGTTCTTACATCGTTTGCAAGGACAACAAATTTGACCATCCTTTGCTACCTTAGCAAACGAGGCATTAAGAAATTCAATGACACCAGATTCAAACTCAGGTAACCGTCTAGGTAAATACATCCAATCTCTAACATTTCCCATGTCTCTCATACCCTGAAGTGAATAGAAACATTAAACTATAGTAAAGAGTAAAGATCTACTAGTTAGAAGCCAAATTGTTTATTGGTTAAGAAACATCAAAAGAACCTAGACGGTTTCACCAAATTTTGTATTGTAATCAAATACTTTTATTTTTATCCTAAAATAGTTTGCTGCAAGAACACTAATCGCCACTGCAAAACTATCAATCGCCGCCGCATTGCGCGGGTCTCCTACTAGTATATATATATATATATATATATATATATATATATATATATATATATATATATATATGGAGTGTACAACTCCTAATGTAATGACATTGCTATGCATCCGGTTTAGCCATGGATTTTATCCGAGGGTATTTTGGTAGACTCGGTGAAATAAAAGGTTTGCATGTAGAGGGGCAGTTTTGGTATTTTTATTATGAAGTTTGTTACAACTAGATATTTACACTCTAATGAGTGACGATTATACAAGGGTATATGTGTGATTGTCAGTTTCAAATAGCATCATGCTTTCATTAGTAAGATAGGAAGCAAGCTTTTCCTGTGTTCGGAAGGAATATATATAGTATAACAGATCCTGCTCAATTAGTAAGATGGTGATCACTTTTATCAACGTTTCCTGATCGCACTACTGTTCCTGTTATACACTGCATCTATAACTTGACATCGGTAATACTACTACAGAACAAATAAGCATATTATGTGGAATTTGATATGACTATTTATTTGATCCAAAGAAAACATTGTAATTCAGAAGCATGCATCAACTTTGTCTTAATCTTCAATTTTGGAATGGACTTCTCCCATTTACCACAATCAAAGATTACAATTCTCTTAAGAGGGAGAGACCGTGTTGATCTAACAGGCCCAGACACATTTGAAATAATGCAATTATATAACTGCCATTTGGCTGTGCGTTTTGCCCAGAGGAAAGGGGAACTAATGGAACACTACAAATCTACAATAGATGATGTGAACCTGATCCCACATTGGAGGCTGAAGAAAGAAAACAGAAGCTGGGTTGTT